AAAGTTTATAATTATATTAAATTTCAAACTACTACTTTCCTTTCTAACAAGCTCAAACAACTGCTTCCTAATTCTTACCAACCTACATCAATTAATTTACTACAAAAACATACTGAAACATCAACCAAAGCTGCCCTATATCATTTATATACCTGTACAAATCCTATTTGCAATATTCTTCTTAATAATATTAAACATACTTTTAATAATTTTACTTTTTTTTTTTTTAAACAATCTTTTTCACAATTTCCATCTAACACAAAACCAACTCTAAACTTTTTTATTTTTGAACTAAATCAATCCTTACCTGCTACTTTTTTTAAACCTTTTCTCTTTAAATCTCTTAAAGAATTAGCTTATAAAGCAGAAGAACAATTTATACAACTTACATCTAATCCTAAATGTGAAAGCTCTTTTTTCTATACTTTTCTTTAAAAATTTCTTAACCAAACTGCTTTAAATGACAATATAATTAATTTTAATCTCAAAAATGCATTACAACACACTTTTTCTATCTCTACAAACCTCTATCACTTTGCTAATATTATTGTTTACTTTAATATTATACAATTTTCTACTCATCCAATTTCTTCTATTTTTTCTTAATATTATCATTTTTACCTTCCTTAAGCTATACAATATATTTCTAAAAAATTTCAAATCCCAACAATTAATACTGATCTTTTTTTTTCAAATTTTCAAATACCTGAAATTTCAGATTCACTCTTTTTTTCTTCTTAAATTCTTCTTTTCTTTTCTAAATATTTCAATTTTATTTTAACAAAATTTTTTAAACCTCATTTTAACTTTTATTATAGCCAAATTTAAATTCTTTTATTCAAAATAGTAATTTTAAACAAAACCAAAAATATAACTTTCTTGCTATTCTTTTTAATACTTTTACTTTCTAATCTTTGCTATATTCTATTAGAATTAAACCTACTTTATTCATTCCTTCTACTATTACTACTTTCTTTACTATTTCTATTCGTATTTCTATACATTATATTTACCATTTTTAATTTATTTACCAACTGTGCTCTTCTTTTATATTAATATTTTAGTTATGGATCTTTCTCAATATTCTTACTTGCTAGTCTTGCTTTTCTTTCTTGAACATGATTATCTAGCATTTTTAATCTTGTTAAAAATCTACTTTTATAGTGGGAATTACAAATTTATATATATATTCTTTTAGTTATCTTTACTTTATCTTTATTTTTCTATTATTAATATTACTATAACATACTTCTCTTTTTTTGATTCTTCTTCCATCATATTATCAGAAATCTCAATCACTTCTTTGTTTTCAACTCCAACTACTCCTTTTTCTATAGACTAATTTTTCAAAACTTCTAATACTTCTTTATTTTTTTCTTTTAGTAATAAGCTTCTTTTATAACTACACTTCACATGACCTTTCAAATAATTATGCTTAGTCATTATTCTAAGCTCCAACAATCGAATCTACAAAACACAATTAAAATATCTCTAATATATGTAATACAACATTCAATCAGATTATCAAATGCATATGGACAAATTCAATAAATTAATTGGCAATTTATAATTAAACAAACAAAACTTCAAAAAATATGCAAAAATGATTTTTATTGTGTACATTTTGTTGTAGTATAATGGATAGAATGTTTACAGCCATTGTTGGGCCATGAGTTCGAGTCTATCAGTAGTATATTAAACCTGATGCACCATAATGACATTACTGATTACAACAGCTACAGTTTTTTTTATTCAATTCTTCTTTCTTCTTTTTTATATATTATTATCTAATTTACAATACCTTTATTATTTTAACCTTATTATAATTATTTAAATATTAACATATTTACATTTTAATAACTTTCTTTAAACCAATTTATTCTACAATTAATCTACCTCTTATGTATCTTATAATACAACTATAAAACTTTATACATATCTAGAGCTCATCTTGATTTGTATAAAGTTTTTAAATCTAGGTGAGTCTTGGCTACTCTAGTAGGTTTAGGTCACAGATAATTAGTTTAAGCTTTTAGTTTGAGTTTTTAGTCTGAGCTCTTATTCTTGCATATAATTTATATATATTTGTCTTTGTACAAATTAAGTTTTTATATAGTTTTCTATATAACTACTTATATAAATTAATTAATAAAGATATGAGCAAGGCCTTACCTTAATACCAAAAAAAATAATAATAAATATTAAACCAATTATGATGATTTAACTACTATTATGACTGAAATAATCTGCTAAACCCTATTTATTATTGCAAGTTTGCAAATTTACTTAATAAATTTTGCAACTATTTACATTTTTTTAAAATTCAAAAAATGTATAAATATTATAATTAAGCTATCTCAGCAAATATTGGGCCAATTTTGATAATTTAACTACCATTATGACTATAATAATCTGATAAACCCTGTTTATTATTGCAAGTTTGCAAATTTGCTTAATAAATTCCACAACTATTTATATTTTTTTAAAATTTAAAAAATGCACAAATATTATCTTTGCAAATATTGGGCTAATTTTGTAATTTAATTACTATTATGATTGTAATAATCTGCTAAACCCCCATTTATAATTGCAAGTTTGCAAATTTACTTAATAAAATTTGCAACTATTTGCATTTTTTTAAAATATTGTACAATATTGCAATTTTTGCACAATATTATAGTTTTAAAATTTTGTTGATATCTTAGCAAATATTGGGTTAATTTTGATAATTTAACTACTATTATGACTAGAATAACCTGCTAAATATTGTTTGTTATTGCAATATTGTGAATTTTCTTAATATGTTTCAAACATATTTGCATTTTTTAAAATTATTACACAATATTGCATATCAATTGTAATTATTATGCAATATTATAGTTTTAAAAATTTGCTGATATGTTTTGTAATTTGCTAATAAACCTAAAATTTTATATTTTGAATATTTTTTATCTAAAATATTTTAAAATATATTTTTTTAAAGTTTTCGAAATATTTTGCGAAATATTGCGAAATTTTTTGTGAAATATTTCAAAATTTGATTTTTTGAAAGTTTTTAAAATATTTTGCAAAATATTGCAAAATTTTGTACAAAATATTTCAAAATTATGATTTTTCAAAAGTTTTCAAAATATTTTGTGCAATATTGCATTATTTTTGCATATTGCAAATTTTTGCACAATATTTTGTATATATAAATTTGCTGATGTATATCACTAAATAATTATTTAACACTTGCTAAATTAACTATAATTAAAAATAATTATTTACTAATAAATACAAGTTCAGGTGCTTCTTCTTCAACATATTTCCAAAACTGAAGTAGTGTATCCTTGAACTGGTTGGCTTGATAATTATCAAAAGAAAATATCTTGTTACAATATTGTATTATTTCATTAGCAAGTGTTTGTGGCTTATTTCCTATTCATATTTTATAATATATTTGGGCATATTTGCATAATTTCACAAAAGAAATATTACTTGCTTTTAAATTTAAATTGCTAAATCAAAGATTGGGATTTAAAAAATATGCCAACAGAAGAAGTGGCTGTTCCCAGTTTCTCTAATGTTTTTCAAAGCATTCTATTATTATTAACTTGAATTCTTGAATTTCTTGATTATCAGTTTTATTTTTAGAAAAAATTTGACTAAAATAACCAAAACAAATAAGAATATAATAAAGATAGATATTATTTCTTTCAAGCAAGGCAATTGTTTCCACAAAAGGTTTCAGTATTGCTTTCAACATACAAAGATCATTAAAAAACTTGTGATCATCTAAGATACTTGTAACAGCTTGAAAAAAAAGTAAAGCTTTTTTATCATGAATTCGAATACTTGTTCTATAAGTTACTAAAAGGCTCTATTAAATAAATTATAATATTTAAAATTATATTTAAAATACTTAAATAATAAAACATAAATTTAAATACCCATAATGCATGCTCCACTTTTAAAAAAGCTTGAATATAATTAAAATATAAATACTGAGTTTTAGAAGAATTAGTAGAAGCAAAATAAGAAATTTGAAGATCATTACAAGTATTTTTAAGAAGTGTTGTAAAAAAAGATAATTTATTAAAAAAAGTAGTAACTACTATGGCTTGCTTAATTATGGAAAAAAAAAAATTGTGCTAATTTGAAAATATCAACAATACAAAGATTTGCCTGATGGGTGAAACAAAATAGCCAAATTATTGTTAATAATTCTTTTCTTAATCTGCGACATGTAGTAGCATATCTACTTGATGAATCCATCACAACTACAACAATCTTAACATTTTTTAATCCATCTTCTATTAATAAATCCTTTACTAATTTTATTGTAGCTTCCATAGAGTTACATTCACTTAAAATATCTCTTGCATAATATATTATTACTTCACCTTCTTCTGTAATACAAGTTATACCAAGAATATTTTGCTTTGAAACATTTTTCTAGCCATCAAATATAAGAGTAACAGCTTTTATGCTTTGTATAGTTTTTATAGTTTTGGTTTGAAGTTTATTTGCAGTATTATTAAAAAGTTTTCTACCTAATATTTGATGAGATGGGATTGCAGTAGATTTAAGTTATAGTGTTAGATTAAAAAAATGAAGAAGTTCTAATAATTCATTATTTTCTATTTACTGAAATGCTCATCTGTTAGAAATAGTTGAATTCAGAAGCTTTTCTTGAAATTCTTTAATTCATTTGTCTGTTAGAGATTTTAGAAGGTATTTAGAAATCTCATTTTCAAGCCGTTCTTCATTATAATTAGATTTAAGATATTTGCTTAAAATTAGATTTTCTGAAGCATCACCAATATCATTAGTTTTACCCTGAAGTTTTTGGCTTAAATCACTAGGTGCATTTAAACAAGCAAGAAGATACTGAATATAATATTATGGTTTGCCTATTACAATTCCTTTTCCTCGTTCTAAATTTTTAAAAAAATTCTTATTTTTTTTTAAACAGAAGGTGTATGCCATTTCTTTATCTGATGAATTCCAAAACTTTGGCTTTCTATCATCTCCCAGAACTTCAACAAAAAATTCAGAAATTGTACACTTTGGATATTTCTATTTATTAGACATTATTAAGTTAAGCTTGTATGTATATTTCTAAAAAAAATATATAATAATTTATATATTATTATTTTTTAATCAATTAAATATTTTATAAATTTAAACTAGAAAACATATAAGTAATATCACTTATTATTTACCACTTTACTATATCTTTTACTTATGTTTTTAACAATGTTTCTTTATTGATCTATGTTCATTGTTTACATTTACACAATGCAAACTATATTTATTTGGTTGTTACTTAAACAAAATAGAAGTAGTTTTACTTCACTTTCTGCTGAGATAAAATTTCACATTACTTGAACAAAAATAGAAGCTCGATTAATTATAACCTCATAACCAAATCCCTTATTTATTTAACAAATAATTATGTGTTATTTATTATATCATTTTGCATTATGTCAAGTCTGTCAAATAAACTCATTATTATCATTTACTATTATGACCTGGATCAATACCCCTAATCCAAGGATCGACCCTTACTCATATTAATACATTTTTCTACAATTTTATTGGCCCAATATCATGTGATCTATCTCTTATGATTTTTGGATACCCAATTTTATTTTCAGAGCTATTCTAAATTGTTTGTCTAAAAATCCTAAAATCCTAAAATACACTACTTGCCAACCTTAGTTTGCAGGTAGGATTAGGTGATAGTTTAGGCCAATTTGTTAATACAGGTCAAACATGGTATCGAAACAAAACTTACCCAAAACTAGTTTCAGAAGGGTTCTAATCCAAAACTAGTTTCAGATTTTTTAAAAAAATCTGAAACTCTGAAACCCAAAACTCTAAAACTATAATCCGAAACTTAAAACTATAATCCGAAACTTAAAAATATAATATACAATTTTTAAACTTATATTTATTTTAATAATATACTTAATAAACAAATATATTTATAAAAATTAATACAAAATATAAAATAAGGTTTATATAATATAATATAAATAAAATTTTATATTATATATTTGAGATAAAAAAAATCTTAATTATTTAAAGAAAAAATCTCAATATATAATATAAAATTAAATACAAATAAAAATATAATTATTTAATTTTAAAAATAACAAATTTCATCAATATTATCAAAATGTTTTTGTACTATTTGGCTTGGATCATAATCTTCTTTATTTTCTAAATCTTGAATAAAAGTAGTTATTTTATCTTCATTTATAATCTTATAATAATTTATATTATCTAGCTATACTAAAAATCAACTGGATTTTTTTATAAAAATTCTAATACAAACTAAATTATATATTGTGTATTATGGAGTAGTGAGTAAGCTTTGTAGCAGAATTTTTTTAGAGAAATTTTAATACAAATAATAACTTACTTATATATTGTATTCAAAATAGTATAACAAAATTTTTACAGTAATACAACAAAAATTATAATAATTCAAATTAAACTAACTTACTTTTTATTATATTATATACTATACTAAAGTAGCAAACATGTTCTCTAACAGAATTTTTTATAATAACTTATAATAAAATAATAATTTTATATAAACTAATTCTATCTTAATAATATTTTTATGCAATTAGTATAATAAGTAAGTTTTGTAATAGAACTTATTATTAAAATTATAATAGTTCTAATACAACTTTAGCTTTAATTACTAGAATATAAATAAGTTCTGTAACAAAATTTTTATAGTAAAAAAAAACTCTTCACGTTTATTACTTATACACAAACTCTCTCGATTTAATTAACTAAAAATGCTTATAACTTTGTTTTTTATCAAGTTAATCTTAGTTTTGCTACTAAATTAAATTGTTCTCTATACAAAATTATATATAATATTTAAATATTAGCTTTAAATCTTCTAAACTTCTCAAAAATAGCCTTCTAGTCTTTTTTCCAAACTTCATAAATAATTTAATAACTGCTATCTAAACCTACTTCTCAAGTTTAGGCAAACTTAAAGAGCTTACTTCTCTTATTATAACAAGCTATAGCTCAAGCTTGTGAACTCAAAACTAATAAAGATATACTCAAAAAAACTCCAAACTCCTTTTAAGTATTTTTATTTTCTTTTTTTTTAATTTGCCTTTACTTTAATTTTATAGATGTTTTTTGTATTACACAATCTATTTTTAAACTATACACCCACGTTTTTATTTACTTAAAATTAGTAGTTCTCTACTAATTATACTAATTTTATTTTAAATATTAACTAATATAACACAAATTTATTTTTTTTATTTTTTTTTTAAATTACTTATATGCTGTAATTTTTTATTAATTAAGAACTTAAAACTTATTACTTATTGTATATTACAGTATTTGAGTTGTGCTACACTAGACTATCTAATGATATTTACTTTAAGCAATTTAGTCATAGCTTTGCTATTTTAGAATTTAATTAATAGCTATTACTCTATCAATTATATAACCCACCTTTCTCTATATATAATTTTTCATATTGTTATTAGTATTTTGTTCTCTTATTTACTTCTTGTAGCAACCTTTCTTTATCTTCTAGTTTGGCAGTTTTTTGCTCTTGTGGCTACAAATTAGTATATATAACTTTATATATATTTGGTATCTATTTAGTACATGTTGTGCTACTACTATTGTGTTTGTATTTTAAGCTAACCTTTGAAGTACTGCTATATCAGAATTTGTATCTCAAGCCACAACTTTTTTATTAGATGTGATTAAATTTATCAATCTTCTAATTGTTATTTCACAGTATACTATTTGCCATGTGTAATATTACCAAAGTTAGTATTATCTGTAGTATAAGCACCAAAGATTTTTTAGTATATCTATTTTTACTTGTGAATATAATACTGACTAGAGTTTTGCAATTTAATTTGATTTGATTTGATTTGATCAAATATTTGAACTCAAATCAGATTCAAATACAAAAATTTCATATCAAATAAAATTCAAATATAATTATATTTAATTTGATTTAACAAATATTTGATTTGATTAAATTCAAATTGGTCTAATATTTGATTTGATTTGAGTTTGAGAAACCCTACTACTAATGATTATTTTTACTTCTAGCTTGGTACTGCAAAAAGATCTGGAATCTTGACTAACAATATACTAGTATAGCACTTATTACTAAAGTTAGTAATATATAATATAATACTTAATACAACTTTTAATTTTATATAGATACCAGAGATATTTCTAAGAAATAGTTAGACCAATTCTTTTCTACAGATCTTTATTATATCTACTGCTTTGCTTGTCACTTCTAATTTGATATATTTGTATTACTCTTCTAATCAAGATTCCGGACGATCTGGATTGTTGGTGCTATTTAAGTGTCTTGAGCATTTACATGTGCAACCTATTTGCATCAAACATATAATGCTACTTTCCAAATATGTTGCTAACTCTCTATAGTTAGATTTTTTTTCAGGAATTTTTTATCAAATATATATTATATTTGAACTTCTATAGGGCTTTGTATTCAATTTTGGCTCTTCATTTGTAGGTTATAGAGTTTTTTTGCCTCTAGCCTAATTTGAACTATGGATCTTAACTTAACTTTTATGAGAGTTTGCAACTTAACAATTAAGCTATAAGTTCTAAACCTCAATACAAAATTTTAATATTTACAAAATAGTAAATATTTAATTTATACATGTATTATATTTTGTATCTATTAAATTACAGTTATACAATACAATCTTGTACTATACTAGCCATACTAACTACAGTTACACAAGCTATAGTTGTACAAGCCACAGTATTTAGAAGATTCTATAGCATAATATTATACAAAACAAAATTTATACTATCCTAAAGCTCAATATCTTTCTATTCTGAATTTACTTATAATTTTAACTAATCATATTTACTTTAACGAGTTAAGAGCTAGACATCTTTGATCTTAACTATTTTTATCAAAACAACTTTGAAACTTATAGAGTTGCATTATATAGACAAACTAGAAGTTGTTAAAGCAATTTCTAAAAGATTTAAACCAATAGCTTATTTTAATAAAGATTTTTGTAACTTTCAAAAAAGCATTTACTTCTTTTCTACTCTATTTTCAAATACTATAATTACCTTTTTCTGCAAGAAATATTACATGAAATTTATAGCCAAAGATAATAGAATCTATGATTATAATATTAATATAAATACACAATATCAAACTTACAAACCAAAAAGCTTATATAAAAACTTAAAAATACAACTCAAACAATTCTATAATCTCTAATTCAACAACAAATACACTCCAAAGATATACTAACTACACTTTCATCACTCTCTCATACTTATTCTTACCCAATATGCAACCAAGTAATTATTTGCAAATCAGTTAATAATCATTATATTCAAGAAAATTCAATCAAATATAATAAAAACTACTACTATTCAAGCTGTATTACTAATATCTCTTTTACTGTTTTCTATATCTCTAGCCTATTTGATAATATTATCAAACAATGTATAACACAACTATCTAGATTCTTGAATAATGATACAACTAATAATCTAACCATATCCTATATATTTAATAGCAACAACTTAATCAGCCAACCAACCAACTACAACTCAAAACTCTCTCTTTTTCACTCAAATTTCAAACCATAGTCCTACCTTCAATATCTAGTACTATTGATGATTTTTTTTAACAACCTATCTTAATTTTTAACCTCAACCAAATCCTTTTAATAACCTCTTCTCTCTTATCTTAATACAAAAAATCTTTACTATAAATACCACTAGTACAAATATAGAAATTGACTAATCTATTATTTTTCAAGAACTCTCTGCTATTAACAAATTTTTTATAGATAATAATGCTATTAAATTCTCAAATCCAAACATAATCAAATTATTTAACAATACTTATTCTTCTATAACCAACACTAAAGGCAAAA